AGTGGTATTCGACAAGGATGGTGGGGGCCGAATGCTGTCACGTGTGCAGGCGCACCTGACGCACTCTGCACGTGCCCCGAACGTGGCGTACCTGGCGCGGCTGTGTGCGGCACATCTGGCGCACTCGGAGCACGTGGCGCATCTGGCGCACCAGGCGTGCCTGACACGCTCGGGCCCCAGGGGTGCCTGGCGCGCGTGGCGCCCCTGGCACGCGTGGCGCACCTCGCCCAAGCGTCGCGCACCTGGGGTCGGCTTTGGTTCCCAGTAGCAGCCCATCCAAAGACGACTGCTGAACATGCTCAGTCTCGGGTGCGGGTGGGAATGAGCTAGACGGCTTGCGGGCGGGTGAGTAGCTTGATCCCTCCCCCTACCCCCCCCCCCCTTGTCCTGGAGAGAGAGTTTCGCGAGGCGTTGGAGCGTCCAAGATGGCCCAAGATGGCTCTATGAGGGCCTCAGAGAGCTCAATATGACCTCCAAGATGGCTCAAGATAGCCCAAGATGGCTCAATATGGCTCCCAAGATGCTCCAAGAGGCCCCAAGACCGCTCCAAGACGGCTCCGAGTGGCCACTGAGCATCCCCAGGAGGCCGCCAAGATGCCCAAATCCTTCAACAACCAGAGGAACATCAACAATGTGTGCCTTTCTCGCCTTTTCGCGTCCTGTGGCCTTCCGAGGCATCAAGACAGCTCTAAAATTTGGCGCCTGAGGGCCCCAATAGAAGCCCATGAGAGCCCCACGACGGCCCCCAAGAGCGCTCCAAAAAACGCCCCAAGAGAGGCCCAAGAGGCGACTGTTGGGGCTCCCGAGGGACCCATAATTGGAGCTCCCATCTTGTTTGATCGATCTCCTCCAAGACGGCCCCAACGGCGCTCCCAGGGCTCCCAAGAGCGCCTCAAGAGGGCCCCAAGAGGGGCCCAGGAGGCCGGAAGAGGCGCCCAAAAGCCTCCAAGAGGCTCCCACGAGACCCCCAGGACCGCTAAGAGGCCCCCAAGATGCTCCAAAAGGCCTCCAAAAAGCTTCCGAGAGACATCCGAGGAGACTCTGAGAAGCAACTTGCATCGTTTCTGGATGGGCTGGTGGGGATACGCGAAGCATCAAAAGACGAGACTCATGAGACACTCTACGTTGCCTCAGTGCAACACGCCTCTCCTCGGCAACTATGTCTAAACTGTCTTGATTAGACCAAACCGTGCGAGCAGAATTTTGGTCCTGACTGATCCAGGGACCCCAGATTTCCCCATCGAGGGCACAGGCCGCTTTTGCTCCAGAGCAATGTGACGCGCTTTCGGCGCCAGGCAGCCTACCAGGGCCTGAGGGGAAAGAAACCTCCAAAGAAAAACCCGTCAACGCCTCTCTCCCGCTGACAAGCAAACGCGATGGTGGTCGGTGTGCTCCTCCTATTACTCCTTCTCCTCTTCCGTCTTTCCCCTCCTCCTCCAACCTCATCCGTGATCCTCCTCTCCCTCCCTCTTTCCTCGTTCATCCTTCCTCCCCTTTCTCCTCCTGCTCCTCCTCCTCCTCCTCCTCCTCCATTTTTGCCGTTGCTCAGACATGTGGGTGAACCTGTTGCGTGTGTCCTGCTCCTCTTTCCTCCTCCTCCTCCTCCTCCTCCTCCTCCTCGTCCTCGTCCTCCTCCTCCTCCTCCCTCCTCCTCTCCTCCTCTCCCCTCCTCCTCCGTCCTCCCCCCTCCCCTCCCCTCCCCTCCTCCCACCTCCCCCTTCCCCCCTTCCTCCCACCCCCCTCCCCCTCCCTCCTCCCCCTCCCGCTCCCGCTCCTCGCTCCCCCCCCCCCTCCTCCCCCTCCCCCTACCCTCCACAACTTACTCAATATGAATACTACTCTCCCTCTTCCCCTGATGACGGTTTGAAAATATTAGCCCCCCGCGTTTTTTTTTACACACAAGATTCCCCGGAGATGGGTTTTCGCTTGCATTTGTTTCCAAAATGCTGCTCTCGCTGAAGCGCCGGCCTCATGTTCGGGCCCCGCTCGTTCCGAATCGTGCTCCCGCTGCAGCGCTGGCCTCATTTCCGTGCTTCCGCTCGTTCCGAATCGTGCTCCCGCTGCAGCGCTGGCCTCATTTCCGCGATTTTGCTCGTTCCGACTCGTGCTCCCGCTGCAGCGCTGGCGTCATTTCCCGTGCCATGCCACGGCATGCAATGCAATGCTAGGTTGATACTACGCTTTGCGGTGCTCTTCTACGCCATGCCATGCCGTGCTCTACAATGCATCGCGTACCCTTTCGGGATCATTGCCCTGCTCGACATTCGACTGTGCGAGTAGAGAGGGGATCTACGCCATGGTAAGGGATGGGAGGGAGGGGTAGGATGTCAGATATGACGCGAGCGCACCTAGCTGCCCCACCTCCCCTCCCCCCCTCCCCTCCCCCATCCCCCTCCCCTCCCCCCACCCCCTCCCCCCTCCCCCTCCTCCCCCTCCCCCTCCCCCTCCCCCCCACCCCCCCCCCCCCCCCCTCCCCATCCCCCTCCCCTCCTTAACCTTCCCCTTCCCCCTTCCCCCCCTTCCCCTCTCCCCTCTCCCTCCCCCCTCCTCTCCTCCCCCTCCTCCTACCCATCCTTCCCCCCCCCCCCCTCCCCCTTCCTCTCCCCTCCCCCTCCTCCTCCTCCTCTCCTCTCCATCCTCCTCCTCCTCCCCTCCTCCCGTCCTCGTCCTCTCCTCCTCCTCCTCCTCCTTCCCTCCTCCTCTCCGTCCTCCTCCTCCTCCGCCTCTCCTTCCCTTCCTCTTCCTTTCCCCCTCCTTCATTCCTCCTCATCCTTCCCTCTCTCTTCATCTCGTTCTTCGCGTGTTTGAGCGCAGTGCTTTCCTCCTCCTCCTCCTCCTCCTCTTCCTCCTCCTCCTCCTCTTCCTCTTCCTCCTCCTTCATCTCCTCCTTCACCTCCTCCTTCATCTCCTCCTCCTCCTCCTCCTCCTCCTCGTCCCCCACTCTTTTTCCTTGTAAATAACTACCCCTGTCACACCCGTCGCAAGTGTTTAGGGCGGGCGGGGCGTTTCACCTGAGACTTCCTCACCATGTTTGAGTCTGAAGCTGCAAAATTAGCAAGTTTCACAGATGGAGGGCGGGTGGTCTTCAACATGTGGCGCTCGCCTTGGCGCGGCGCACAATCGTTTCACAAAAAAAAACAAGAATTTCACGGGTTGAGGGCGGGTGGTTTTCAAAACGTGGCTCTCGCCTTAGCGCGGCGCATTTTCGTTTTTTAAACAGTTGCAAGAGTTCCACGCGTTGAGGGCGGGTGGTTTTCAAAATGAGTCTCTCGCGTCAACGCGGCGCACACTCGTTCTAAACATTTGCAAGAGTTTCACGGATTGAAGGCGGTTCGCTGTGTTTTCTCTATCTGCGGACGCGTGTCATAGCCGGCATGATACTCCAACAGAAAAGACCCAAGGTGCTATGCGCAGTCGGAACATTGGAACTATGTCCATATGAGAACATGGCGGGTGCGCAGGAAAATGAACAGGAGGACAAGGAACCCCGGTAATGAATCCACGCCATCCTGGGCAGGTCTGGGCCACCGGGCCCCTCTCGGCGATCAACAAGCGATTGGGGGTCGATGCATCCCGCCATGTGATCCTCGCCATCTAATTTCCGGGTCAGGCCTCGGGTCTCTGGCGGCCGTTCGGGGCGATCGGGGCACCCCTGGATGGCCCTCGTCCAGGCGCAGCTGCTGGAGAGTTTCCCGAGGCTGGAACATCGCCAAAAACAAACGACAACGCCAGACAACCTCGACCCTCGAAAACGCCCCCCCCCCCCCCTTGCGTATGCCCCCCTGTCGTCGCCCCCGGCCCCCCGGTCTCTCCCACCGTCTCGGCCGACTTGTGCCAGCGGCACTCGCCGAACTCGTTCGCGTGGTCCTGCGCCGCGCGCGCCCCCCGCCAGCGGAGGCGGGCGGCCACGGCCGCGGGGGGCGGGCGGCAGCTGGCAGAATCGACGATCCTTCGGCTGTCGCCGTCGCCGTCGTCGTCGTCGTCGTCGGACGTCGTCGTCGTCGTCGTCGTCGTCGTCGTCGTCGGACGTCGTCGGTCGTCGTCGGTCGTCGTCGGACGTCGTCGTCGGTCATCGTCGTCGTCGTCGTCGGTCGTCGTCGTCGTCGTCGCTTTCGCTGTCGTCGTCGTCGTCGTCCTCCTCCTCGTAGACGTACGTCCGAACCGGACAGATAGTACACAAACCTTGTGGTACATCGTTTCCAAAGCAGTATGACCGCAAGGCGCCCGCCACGGAGCGTCTTCTCGAAGTGTTCTCGGCGCGCGCGTCGCCCCTGGTGGCGACGCTCACATAACGTTAGTATACTCGGGTGAGACTGGATTGGCCGACATCGGCCGTATCTCTATCCCAGAGACTGCTATGCCACAGGCGATGACAATGTTAGGGATGTGCCCTCAGAAACTGGGCGAACCTTTCAGATCGGCACCGAGATCGGAGAAGGTACAACCAATGTTAGACATATGAGTGTGTTTCAAGCTGGATAAGCTGGTATGTCTTGGAACGCCAACGACCTTTTCCCGGGAAGGCGTAGGCCCAGGGTTCTCTTGTAGTAGATAAACCTGTCCCCCGGGCCAGATTTCTGTAGGGCCAGCGAATTCTTTCCCGGATAAATACCGAAATAAAGTGTGAATTTGCAGTTGAGCAACTGCGTTTTTCGCCTGCCCGCTGGAGGAAAAATCGCCCCCCCATCTCGGATCATTGATCAAATACGGGGTCTGCAGACACCCGTTTCCCTTGTAAAACAAGGGTGCGGGGCATTTTTAGCAGAATCCTCCAAACAAGCCTAAGTCTGGAGCTTCGACTACGACATAAAGATATGAACATGTTGACTTTGTGCGTGCCCGGTCGAGGATGGCGTGCAGAAATTCTAGGGATGTCTCTGGCGAAACGCTCGTTTTGTAAAATGTGACGGGTCTGGGCGCCCAAGGACGCCCAGGGGGTTCTGGGAGCACAAGCACAGCGTAATTTACGAGGGATCGCGGCTTCGGGAGCGCGGACGCCGCGTAATTTACAAAAGATCCTGGCCCTGGGAGCGCGGATGCCGCGTAATTTACTAGGGATCGTGGCCCTGGGAGTGCGGGGGCTGCGTAATTTCTGTGTCCAGGCCACCAAGGGGGGTATCTAACATGGCTGTCCCGAGCCAAGACCACGTGTTCTAACGAGTCCAGGCCACCTAGGGGTGTATCTAGCATGGTTGCTTAGAGCTGAATCCCAATGTTTTGACGTGTCCAGGCCACCCAGAAGGGTATCTAACATGAATGTCCCGAACTGGAACCACGTGTGTTTACATGTCCAGGTCGCCCAGGGTGGTATCTAACATGATTGTCCTGAGCTGGCACCTTTTTCCGTGTCCAGGCCATTCATGGGTATATCTAACATAGTTGTCCCGAGCAAGGACCACGTGTCTTTAACGAGTCCAAGCAACCCAAAGGTTTATCTAACATGGTTACCCAGAGCTGGTCCCACGTGTGTTTACGTGTCCAGGCCACCCAGGGGGATACCTAACATGTCTAACATGATTGTCCCGAGCTGGCACCACGTGTTTTTACGTGTGCAGGCCACCCAGGGGGATATCTGACATGGTTGTCCCGAGCAAGGATCACGTGGTTGAACATGTCCAAGCCACCCAAGGGTGTACCTAACATTGTTGCCCGGAACCGGTCCACCGTGTGTTTACGTGTCCAGGCCACCCTACGGGGTATCTCACATGATTGTCCCCAATTGTGAACCGCGTGGTTTTACGTGTCCAGGCCGCCCAGGGAGGTCTTCAACATGGCGGAACCAGGTGCTTTCACGTGTCCAGGCGGCCACCTAGGGGATATCTAACATGGGCCTCCTGGAGCCTTCCTGGGGGCCTGGAACGGACGTCTGGCATGAAGATGTGCTGAGGATGTCTCAAGCGAACCACTTGTTTTCCCTTCCAGTTCGCCCAGGCGGATGTCTAGCATGAGGTGGCACGTCCAGTTCCGTAGCGCGTCCCCTTTGGCACGTCCCGCGGTGCGTCCCGATGGCACGTCCCTTGGCACGTCACCTGGCACGTCCCTTGGGACGTTCCGCGGCGCATCCTCCTGGCATGCTCCCCTGTCAATTAGCTCTGGGGGAGCCACTATGTGCCCAGGCAGCTCAAGCGCAAGATCCAGATCAGTTCGGTTAGGACTCGGATGCAAAGAAGGACTCGATCCACAACACTATAGAACACAATCGTGGCATGGCACATCGCAGCTCAACACGGCGCAGCACAACACACCCCTCGGCACGGTACATCAAGATCGATACACTCATCATTGCAACCTGGCACGTTCCCTGGCACGTTCCTTGGCGCGTCCTGTGGCGAGTCCCCCTGGCACGTCGCGCGGCGCGTCCTCTGGCACGTCCAATGGCACGTCCATTGGCACGTTCCGTAGCGCGTCCCCTTGGCACGTCCCGCGGTGCGTCCTCATGGCACGTCCCCTGGCACGTCGCCTGGCGCGTCCCTTGGGATGTTCCGCGGCGCATCCTCCTGGCATGTTCCCCTGTCAATTAGCTCTGGGGGAGCTACTATGTGCCCAGGCAGCTCGAGCGCAAGATCCAGATCAGTTCGGCCAGGACTCGGATGCAACGGAGGACTCGATCCAAAACACTATAGAACACAATCGTGGCATGCCACATCGCAGTTCAGCACGGCGCAGCACAGCACACCCCTCGGCACGGTGCATCAAGATCGATACACTCAGCATTGCATCTGCCCGTCGCCCAATCATGTGTCTTTGAAAACGTTGCCATGCCATACATGTCTACATTCCTTCCCGGTTTCGTGGGTCGACCATGTTGACTCCCGGGCCCTCTGGAGGCCACTGGGTACATCCGGAGGCCTCAGCAGACTCTTGGATCGGGCCGGGCGAAAGGAGGGGACAGCAAAGGCGGGGGGGGGGAATCAGCTCGCGTAGCTGATTTTCCCGGCGCCTCCCGGCGCCGGAGGCGGCCATGTATCGAAGAATGGGCCCCTCGGTGGGGCCGAAACCAGCTGCATGCAGCAGATTTCGTACCCCCCCCCATCCCTATCCCCCCCCTTCGTTCGGGCCGATTGGAGACCGCCTGGGATCTCAGACACGCTCCCCCCCATAGCGCCAAAATCGCGACGGCCGGCTTTTCCCCCGCCCAAGACTCTGGACCCCCCTTCGCGCGCCCCAGGACCGCGCAGAAACAGCCCCTGGGTGCAGAGCCAGTCCCGGGAAGGGGGGAACAAAAAATGGCATAAACAAAAAACAAACTCGGAAGTCCGGGCGGATTTCTCGGATCGGCGCTGGACCCCCCTCCCTGGCGCGCCAGGGGCGGCGCCGGAGGCGCCGCCGCGGGGCCCCAGCGCCGATCCGAGAAATCCGCGCGGACCTCCGAATCTTTATGTTTATGTCACTGAAGGGGCCCTGGGACACGCAAATAAATACATACAAATAAAAGGATTCCCCATATTTTCCTATATTTTCTGGGTTTCAGTCTTCCCCCCCACTGCCCATATTTTCACATATTTTCTAGAGAATCGACGACTTATCGTGTCTGTGTTCTTTCTCCTCCTGAGTCACTTTTTGTTCCCCCAGGGAAAGGGGGAGAGACCCACGCGGGCCCCAGTCTCGAGGAAGAGGTGGCTGCGTGAACCGCAGCTCTTGGAGCCTGGAGCGCCGCGCGGCTGTACCACATCGGCACTGGTGCCTCCAAGGGGATTCAGGGCCGATCCGCGAGCTCCGCGTGGAGTTCCCAAAATATATTTGTTTTTTTCTCCTCCTGGGAGGGACGGACACAAAGTACCGATACCGCTGAACCCTGGACCCATCCAAGGGAGCGTTCTGGATCCAGCCCTGGCGAACAGGGCCACCCAAGAGGCCTCAATAGACACAAAAAGCGGGACGGGTACTGGAACTGGTGTCTCCTCCTCCTCCTCCTCCTCCTCCTCCTCCTCCTCCTCCTCCTCCTCCTCCTCCTCGGGAGTCAGCACAGCATGAAAACTACGGGTGCGAGATGATGATTTGAGCAGGGACCGACCGTCCCGGCATTCCTATAGGGCTACCACGAAATCTGCTTCGAATCCAGACATGTTCTAAACATACAACAATGATCTTAGAACACGATACCGATGTGTTGAGACAAGACAGTCTCGGCCAGCCATGTTCTGAGACCACTGCGTGCAGACCACAACAGGTTCTTAGAACATTCTTTGGCGGACCTGTAGGCAAGGTCAAGACGCTTCGCCAAATGAAGGGTGCGAGGCCCTCAGACGTTGGGGCGGCTGCGGCGACAGTCGGCCGAGCCGCCCTGGGCCCGGGCTCCGCGGCTGAGCACGGGGCGGGGACAGGCAAGGCTTGGGGGGTGGACATTGGCGAGTCTCCATGCGGTGCGCTTCGGCTGCGGAAGATGGACAGACGTCCGAGGCACGCTGACTCTGTACCCTTGCCTTGGTCGACGTCCGTCCTTGGTTCGGTTGTCGTTACCTGGCCCAGAGACCCCCCACCCTTGGTGACGGCAACGATCTGATGACCCCCCCTCCCACACAAGGGGTGCTCGCCGCTCGCATACTGCGGCGATCGCACCGCACCCATGCCCCGACGTGCCCCACCCCGCCCAGACGCGACTGTTACCTGCCCCCCCCTACCCACCCTAGGTAACGACCGCTACCGAAAGCATTGGCGACAATATGACTGCAAGCATGCGCGAACAGCCTGGTAAGACTTGAAGAAGACACCCGACCTAGCAAGGCTCCTGTAGCAGCCGGGACATCTCGCCTATGCTGGAATATCGTGGCTTCGGATGGGCAGCGCTCGGTCGGGTTGATTAATAATGATGGAACAGCACTCGAAACATCGTTTTTAGACTATTTTCAAACGATTCTTGGATGTTCCTCCTGTAGGAGGTGCATGCCCGACTCAACGACAGAGAAGAAATGCTTCCCCTGGTCCCTCCTGGACAAGACCCGACCGTTCCAATGAGATCCATCGGCCCATGGACCCTGCACGAGTGTCTCCAGGACCAGCTTCTCGAGCTGCGCCCAGCCGCGCAGACGAAAGAGCGCTCCAGGGGTCGAGCGAGACAGGTCATCCATGCAGAGCCGCCCCGCTGGCCGCGGCGTCTGTTTTCCTGTGTGGCGCGAGCGATCCCGAAGACGCTGGCGACCGTCTCCTCCGACGAGACGCTGCTGAGCAGCCGCCCCCCCGGCAGGATCGCATCCACTCGCCGCGCTCCGGGGCCCAGCCTGCCCGCGCGGTGCTCAGCGGTCAACTGGGCGAACAGGTCTGCGACGAGGGCACCAGGCCCCGCCCTGGCTCTCGACCTCGAGCACTCCGCCCCGCCCACGGTCACGAACCGCACCACGTCGCCGTCGATCAGTGCCTGGAGAAGCAGCGCTGGACACAAGTGGGCTGTGTAGCTCAGGTCGGCGCCCAGCGCGGGGAGGTCGCACTGCCGATCGCCGTTCTGGCCGCAGGCCACGGCGGTGCCATCGCTCCTGAGCAGCACAGTGTGGGTAAATCCAGCGGCAACCTGCGTGTAGCTCAGGTCGGAGCCTGGCGGGGGGAGGTCGCACTGGCCATCCCAATTCCTGCCACACGCCACGGCGGTGCCATCGCTCTTGAGCAGAACCGTGTGGGACCCATCGAGCAGCAACGTGTGGGCCACCCCGGCTGCAACTTGAGTGTAGCTCAAGTTAGCGCCCAGCGCGGGGACGTCGCATTGACCATCACCGTTCTGGCCGCACGCCACGGCTGCGCCATCGCTCCTAAGAAGCACCGTATGGCCTGCTCCAGCGGCGACTTGAGTGTAGCTCAGGTCGGCGCCCAGCGCGGGGAGGTCACACTCACCATCACGGTTCCTACCGCATGCCACGGCCGTGCCATCGCTCCTGAGCAGCACCGTATGGCCTGCTCCAGCGGCACCTTGCACGTAATACAGGTCGTCGCCCAGCGCGGGGAGGTCGCACTGACCATCACAGTTCTGGCCGCACGCCACGGCGGTGCCATCGCTCCTGATCAGCACCGTGTGGGCCCCTCCGGCGGCAACCTGCGTGTAGCTCAGGTCGGCGCCCAGCGAGGGGAGGTTGCACTGACCATAACTGTTCTGCCCGCACGAGCAGGCGTTACCATCGCTCCTGATCAGCGCGGTGTGGGCAGCTCCTGCGGCAACCTGCGTGTAGCTCAGGTCGGCGCCCAGCGCGGGGAGGTCGCACTGACCATACGTGCTCCTGCCACACGCCACGGCGCTGCCGTCGCTCCTGAGGAGCACCGTGTGGCCTGCTCCGGCGGCGAACATCCGAGAGAACCGGAAGGCGGGGTGCCCCAGACCTCTAGTGGAGCGTTTCGTTCGATCCGCGCTCCCACGAAGGTCTCCTCGCGGACAATCTTTCGGCCCGGATCCACTTTTGATGGTCCGAGGGCCTCGAAATTGCATCGGCAGGCCGAGACTTGGGAGGGTCTCGACGTTTTCACACCGAGGAGCTCAGTGTGTAGACGTCCCAGATTGAAAAGCTATGTGACGCTGGAGCGTCCATGCGCCGAAATCCTTGGCCGAAACCGGTTGCGCCATCGCCGACCAAACAACGCGGTGTATACATCGAGACCATCAGAAAGTACAACAAAGAAATCACCGAGGAGGTCGAAGACCCGATCCGCCCGAGGTCTGGGTGCCGAGGCGAGGCGCCAGCGTGCGCTCGACGGCGTGCTCGGACCCGAGCCAGACACTGCGCGCGGTCGCAGAGGCAAGCAGACCCGCCTTCTCCGCGAGACGCTCCCACCCCCCGAGGGGCCGAGAGATGGGGGCACTCACAAGGGAACAAACAATGACATAAACACAAGAACTCGGAGATCCGCGTGGATTCCTCGGATCGGCGCTGGGACCCCCTGGCGGCGCCTCCGGCGGCGCCCCTGGCGCGCTCCGCGCGCCATGGAGGCGGGTCCAGTGCCGGTCCGAGAAATCCGCGCGGATCTCCGAGTTCTCATGTTTATGTCATTCCTTGTTCCCCTAACTCAGGACACGTACGGCAAGCTCGTGCCGTGACGGTCCGTCGGCGCCGCTCTGCGCGTCTTGATTTGTTGCTTCGGCGTCGGCTTCTGACACCGCCCGGGTCGTGCAAACCTTGAGCGATGGCGGCTCCCCGAGATAGAGCAGAACGGTCGACAGCGGCCGCCTCCAGGCCAGCTCCACTCCGAAGTGCCGAGAGAGGCCATCGGGACACCCGTTTTTTTGCGTCGGCGGCCAGGCAGGGGTCGTCTGCGCTGGCAGAAGGACCTAAATTGACGAACCAACAACACACACCCATACCCATAGGGGGATCGGAGAGGGCTATGGGTGCGTGTTGTCGGATGGGGGTCCCCGCTCGAACGGGAGCGTTCCCCAGGGCCCGACAACCCGCACCCATACCCATAGCCAGTCCTCCTCCCAACGACCCCCCTATGGGTATGGGTGTGTGCTGTTCGTTCGTCATAAGTGAACGTGGGCGCGCCGTTGTAGCGAAGTGGCCCGCGTGCCGGAGCGGGAAAAAACGGGACAGCGCGGGCGGCCGCAGAGGGGGGCCATCAGGACAAGCACGCCACGAGTGCAGCGGCGCCTGCGCGACCCCCCGACACCACCAGGCGCTGTGAGTGTCTACGGCTCGTCGCGCGACGGCTGCCAGAGCTCTCAGTGACTGAGCTTCCACGAGTGCAGCGGTGGCAGTGCTGGCGTGGAATCTCAGGGCCCCTCAACGGTGCGGCGACAAGCCGTGCGGCGACCACAGGATCCCCAAACAAGACCTCACCGCACGGTCCGCCACATCGCATGGCTCCAAGTGATCTGGGAGGCCCCAGGTGCCCGAGACGTCCTCGGAGAACGACACGAGCCCCCAAAGCGTGCGATCACACTTCGGTGGCGACTCGTGGGAGCCTGCCATACCATCTTGTCGGCTCTGGCGAATCGACCCTAACCGACGCTAAATCGACGCCAAAGCCGGCGCAGGCATCATCGGCGCTACATCACACTGATCGGCGCCGAACCGACGCTCAGTCGGCGCAGCATCATCGACTCCCAGACGCCAATCGACGCTGCCCGACGCCGAGGACGGACTTGCGAGGGACGACCAGGCTCCCATGCTTTTGCCACCGACTCGCCCCGAACCCCCATGGAAAATCGACACGCGGCATCACCGCACCGTTTGGGGGGTCTCGACTTCGGGTGGCTTTCGGGTCGCACCCCTCGGGAGTCGGGCGGGCGCTCGGGGTGCCCTGGGCTCCCCCCCCCCAGAAGAGAGCGCTCGGCGAGGCGCAGCTAATTACTGGGAAGCACCCGGAGGCTGGAACACTGCAAGAACCGACACGAAACCGCCCAAGAACTTCGCACCTCGAGCCCGTGGCCGTTTAGGGGCCCCCGATCACTGGCCATCGCTCGGACGTCCATTCACTGTGTTTGTTTCGGTTTCGTGCGTGGTTTTTTCGCCAAATGATCAAGGATGCTCCTCGATGGCCCTCGCCGAGAAAAAATGCACACGTCCGAGCGATGCCAGGATCAGTGTGGCACTCCTCGAGACCGACCAACCCTGGAGGTCCCAGGGCCCAAAACGGGGCAACAAGACTCCCGCGGTGCTTGTTGCCACGACGATGGAGGTCGCCCTCGGACAGCACGGACGGCCCCGTCCGCGGGCGGCGCACCCCAGATCGGGGGATCGGAAGGGCGGAGGGCAAGCAAGCAAGCAAGGACCACAATATCCAATGGTGGGGAATCAACTTCTGGGAGGTCTTCGCACGAACGACGAAGGGCCATTAGGCCAGATGGATGGGCCATTGAGCCAGATTAGCCCAGATGGAGCCTCGGATTACGACGGATTCAACAACATGAAATTGACAACGTATGCCAGATTGGCTTGGTTATTTACCACAGGTCCTGAATGTCATCTCCCAAGCCCTCGGTACCCGTCCTCGTCTTCTATCATACCCCCTTGGTGGTCGATTTTCCTTACCTGCCAGCTTGTAACTTGTGCAGTCCCAAAAACATGGAAACAGAGTGCGGATGCAGGGGGAGGAAGAAGGATGGTGCACGATAGAGACTAGAAGAAAGGGGGTAGGAGCAGAAAACACGTGGCAGAACCAAACGGGTTGATCTGGTGGGTAGACGCTGATTGGCGGGTCGGGGAGGCGGGCCCAAGCGGCCAGGTCGAGCAATCGAGTTGCTGAAGCGTGAGTCCTGCACTAATCGCGAGGAAGTCTTGAGCGATAGCGAGATTCCGAAGTAAATCGTGAGAAGGGCCAAAGCGAGAGCGTGATTCCTGAGTGTCGAGGGCGCGGCGTCTGAATACATCGAAAGGACAACCCACGCGAGAGCGCGACTCCTGCATAACTTGTGAGGGAGACCTGCGCGAAAGGTCGATTTGACAATACAGTTTGAGGATGTATCCGGCGGGAACCGTTGTTGTTATACTTCGGAGCCCAGACGCGCAATTTGAGCACGAAAGCCTTCCTAGGAACAAATCAGGGTGCAATACCCGTAGGGGCACTTCAATTGAACAATAGAATGCACGCTGGTGAGAAGTCAACAATAACTATTCATAAGAGATCAGCAAACAAACGGGTAACTGTTCAACCATATTTCTAATTCGCGCGCGCGGGGCAGCCACTAGGGGCCCCTGGACGAAAAGCGCCCCGGCAAGGTCCCGGGCGGTCCGACTCAGAGATCGTTTGCCTCCTGGGCGCCGCCCTCGAGGCCCTCCAGAAAGCCCCTAGAAGGGCCGCGAGGCCGCCAAGAGCCCCCCAAGATGGTTCAAGAGCGCTCCGAGATGCCACGCGCTCGCTTCAAGACGCCCAAGATGGCGCCCTGACGCCCCAACAGGCCTCCAAGAGGCGTGCCAAGAGGGCCCCAAGATGCAAAACTCGTCGTATCCTTTAAGCGACACGTAAATGTTTAGGAGATTCGCCACGTAAGCTTTCACAACGTCACAAGCGGCCCAGGAGGCCCCCAAGATGCCCAAGAGGCCCACAAGAGGGCCCCAAAACCGCCTCGTAGGGCCCCAAGACGACCCAAAAGCCTCCAAAATAGCCTAAGAGGCCCCCAAGACGGCTCCAAAAAGGAATCTAAACGGGAAGCCCGCGCGGATATTTCGAACCCTCGGCCCCGAAAGGCCCCCAGGAGCGGCCAAAAGGTCCCCGTAAGGCTCCCAAGAGGCACCAAGAGGCCCCCAAGAGGCCCGAAGATGCCCCCACGAGGCTTCCAGGAGCGGCCCCTGGAGGCCCCCCGAATGCCCCCCCAAGCGCGCAAGCAAGTGCCAGCGGTGCTACAACATGGGCCGTCGGAGTGAGCGAAACGATTGGACAATAAGAGGTCAGCACAAAATAAAAAAAACACGAACGACAACACCAACACAAACGACAACAGCAACAGCAACAGCAACAGCACCAACAACAACAACAATCATGATAAGACTGTTCGCTATTACTTGCCCGTGTGTCGCTCAAAACGAGCCCCCCACACCCTCGATACCCGCCATTTTTCTTCGATCGCACCCCCTTTGGGGGGATTATTTCTCTTTGCGGGGGGCGGCGGGCTTAGACAGGCGGGCAGACCTGATCGGGCGGACAGTCCTTCGTGGGCGTACATGTGCCCGCCATTGGAATTGGTGTGGGCCCTGCAAAAAAGGAGGGGGGGAACGAGGGAGAGTGGGAGGAAGAGAGGGGGAGGGACGAAGGAAGAGGGAAAACGCCAGGATAGAAGGAGCGAAGAGGGGGGCGGCTGATTAGAAACAGAGAGAGAGAGAGAGAGAAAAAAAAAAAAACAAAAAAAAGAGAGAGAGAGAAAGAGAGAGAGAGGGAGAGAGCGACAGATAAGAGAGGTAGAGAAAGCGAGGGAGAGAGAGAGAGAGGGAAGAGAGAGAGAGAGAGAGAGAGAGATAAAGAAAGAAAGAGGGAGGGAGGAGGCAGGAGAGGGGAGGGAGAAGGGCGGACGGAGAGGAGGGAGAGGGGATAGGGCCAAGCTAGGTGCGCGCGCGTCATATCTGACGTCCTACCCCTCCCTCCCATCCCTTACCATGGCGCTGATTTTCTCTATCCGCGGACTAGTGGGTAGTGGTGCGCGTGCGTGCGTGCGTGCGTGTGTGCGTGGTTGTGGTGGTGGTGGTGGTGGTGGTGGCGTTGGTGGTGCTGGTGGTGGTGGTGGTGGTGGTGGTGGTAGTGGTGGTGGTGGTGGTGGTGGTGGTGGTGGTGGTGGTGGTGGTGGTGGTGGTGGTGGTGGTGGTGGTTGTGGTGGTGATGGTGGTGGTGGTGGTGGTGGTGGTGGTGGGGCGTGTGTGTGTGTGTGTGTGCGTGTGTGCGCGTGTGCTGTGGCATGGCTTGGGAAATGACGCCAGCGCTGCAGCTGGAGCACGAGTCGAAACGGGCGGAAACGCTGAAATGAGGCCAGCGCTGCAGCGGGAGCACGAGTCGGAACGAGCGGAAGCACGGAAATGAGGCCAGCGATGCAGCGGGAGCACGATTCGGAACGAGCGGGGCCCGAAAATGATGCCGGCGCCTCGGCGAGAGCAGCATTAAAAAAAACACAAGCGAAAACCCGTGTCCCGGGAATCCTGTGTAAAAAACAATACGCGGGGGGGTGTCGGATATCTTCGGGACGCCATCAGGGGAAGTGGGAGAATATTTTCATATTGTGTAATTGTAGAGAGGCATAAGGATGAGGGAAGACAGGAGGTACAGAGAAGGGAGGAGAGGAGGGAGGAGGGAGAGGGAGGAGGAGCAAGAAGGTAAGAGCGTGAACGTTCGAGGAAGACCTAGGCGAAAGAGCTGTTCCTGAAGGAAGTCCCTGGCGGGAGCCCACGACGGGCGGGCGATCCCCTGACAGGCGGGTCTGGCGGGTGGGACATTCAAGCGAAATACCTGAGTATGGCGAGAGCGAGATTACTTAAGTAATTTGTAGCGACGTCCTTGGCGTAGCGTGTTTCCTGGGCGTCGAAAGCGCGATTCCTGGATAAATTGCATGGAAGTCACAGGCGAGAGTGCTATTCCTGAATAAAATGTGAAGGGCTCTCTGGCGGGAGCGGGGGTCTTGATTGAATTGCGAGGAAGTCTTGGCTCAATTGCGAGGTCTCAAGCGGGAGCGCCGTTCCTGCGTACATTGTGAGGAAGTCTCAGATGGGAGCAGGGGTCCTGATTAAATTGCGAGGAAGTCACAGGCGGAAGCACAGATCCTGAGTAAATTATGAGGGAATCTCAAGAGCGGGGGTTCTGAGTAAATTTGGAGGGAGTCTCAGGCGGAAGCCCCTGTTGTTGTAATCGGGGGGGCCAAGGCCCCAGTTTGAGCAGGAAGAAAATAGGATGCGAGCGTTGAGGGGCACACTTTGATGGGAAAAAACAATATGCACCGGTGAGGGAGAATAGACAATAATTATTCTTCAAAAGTGAAAATTCAACAACAACAGAAAACTCGTCAACACCACCAACAACGACAACGACAACATCAACGACCCCGACGACAACAACAACAGCAGCAACAGCACCAGCACCAGCACCAGCACCAGCACCAGCACCAATACCACCTCTCAGAACACCAACAACAACAGCAACACCACTATCAATAACAACCCCACAAACAACCACAACAGTCACAACAACCACACACAACAACAACAACAACAACAACAACAACAACAACAACAACAACAACAACAACAACAACAACAACAACAGCAGCAACAACAACAACAGCAACAGCAACAGCAACAACAACATCAACAGCAACAGTATCAACACCACCAGCAACAATAGCATCAACAGTAAGAGCAACGACAAGACCACCAACACAACACATCTTGGCGACGAGCCAAAACATATGCAGTTGTGAGTATCGCCTTCGGTGGGTCTCTCCATGGGGCCACGAAGCGTGAACAAGTGTGTGCCGACACGGGGCGGGGACGCATGCGGGCGCAGCCATTGGGGCCTTCGGTGGCGCTCCGCATGGTGCCGCGAAACGTGTGAGGGGTGTGCCGAAATGGAGCGGGGCCGCCATGCGCACGTCGCCAGTGGGTCCTTCGGTGGAGCTCCCGATGGGGCTACGATGCGCTGTACTGTGTGGGGAAACGCATACGATCCTTATGTGGCCACGAAGCGCTGTACTGAGCGGGGGGGACGCGTGCGAATACCGCCATTGAGGCCTTCGCTGGAGCTCCCTGTGGGGCCACGACATGCTGCACCGGGTGGGTGAGACGGAGACGCATGCGAACACCGCCACTGGGGCATTCGGTGGAGCTCCTTTTGGGGCCACGAAGCGTTGTATTGGGTGGGGGAAACGCATACAAACGCCGGCACTGGGGCCTTGGGTGGAGCTTTCCCATGAGGCCACGCAGCGTTGTGCTGTTTGGGTGGGACGCATGCGGACACCGCCACTGGGCGGGGGAAGCGCATGCGGACACCGCCGCTGAGGCCTTCGGGGGGTGCCCCAACGGGCCACGACACGTTGTACTGGGCGGGGGAAACGCATGCAGACACCGCCATTGGGACCTTCGGTGGAGCTCCCTATGGGGCAGGGTCTTCGGTGGAGCTCCCTAATGGGCCACGAAGCGCTGCACTAGGTGGGGGGGGGGGGAACGCATGGGGACACTGCCACTGGGGCCTTCGGTGGGCCCCCTAAAGGGCTCGAACCGCTGCATTGGGTGGGGGGGGACCCATGCGTACCATGCCAGTAGGGCCTTCGGTGGAGCTCTCTGTGGGACCACTGGACCCCCCCTGCGGCGCCTCCCGCACAGCCCTGGCGCGTTCCGCGCGCCAGTGGAGGGGGATCCAGCGTGTGCCTCCGTCGGGGACGCACATATCTGGGTCAATGCAAACCAGGGTCAGTCAGGCTTTGCAGGATCCTGCAAACACCTCCAGGATCCTGCAGGATCTGGCGCCCTGACCTGCGTCAGTGCAACCCTGGCTGCGCAGGATCCTGCAAGATCCAGCGGCCTGGCTGACCTCCGTTTGCACCGACCCCCGTCTCAAGGCTCCCACTCACCGAGGCAGAGGCAACGCTGGGCGAAGATCCGACGGTGGAGGATGTACAGACGTCAGCACCGTCTGGGCAACGATTTCCCCAGGATGAAGGACAAGGACGTTCTCGGTTCTCTAGACGATGGGTGTGAATTGAGAGGGGACAAATACCGATGTAAATACTCATCGGGCGTCTCCTGGGATGGGTTTAGACAGACATTTCGAGGAAAACCCAGCCGTGAAGACGAGATCTCTTGAGCAACGGTATCGGTACCGTTTTCCACTCCAGGGGGATGTGCATAAACTCTGGACTCTGACCCGGGACACGACGGTCAAAGAGGCTCCTCATCCTGTTCGAACTGCTCGTCGCCCTCCGTCATCTGCTCGAGCGCACCGTTGGCCATGTGTTCAGCCAACTCGTCGTGGCAGGCCATCTCGTCCCGGCACGACGCCGAGGAGGGGATCTGTCAGGGGCGCGTGAAGGGATAATTGATTTGGATTCGGAGTAGTCGCGAAACTAGTAGTAGTAGTAGTAGTAGTAGTAGTAGTAGTAGTAGTAGTAGTAGTAGTAGTAGTAGTAGTAGTAGTAGTAGTAGTAGTAGTAGTAGTAGTAGTAGTAGTAGTAGTAGTAGTAGTAGTAGTAGTAGTAGTAGTAGTAGTAGTAGTAGTAGTAGTAGTAGTAGTAGTAGTGTAGTAGTAGTAGTAGTAGTAGTAGTAGTAGTAGTAGTAGTAGTAGTAGTTGTTGTAGTAATAGTTGTAGCAGAAGTAGCAGTAGCAGTAGTAGTAGTAGTCGTAGAAGTAGTAGCATTAATAGGAATAGTAGTACTAGTAGTACCAGTACTCGTACTAGTAGTAATAGTCAAAGTCGTAGTCGTAGTGATAGTAGTGGTGGTAGTAGTAGTAATGTGAGTAGTAGTAGTAGTAGTAGTAGTAGTAGTAGTAGTAGTAGTAGTAGTAGTAGTAGCAAGAATAGTAGTAGTGCTAATAATAGTCGTAGTAGTTGGAATAGCAATAGTAATGATAGTTTCAAAGTAGTAGCCGTAGTAGTGGCAGAACCAGTAGCAGTAGCAGAAATAGCAGTAGTAGTAGTAAAGGTAGTCGTAGTAGTAGTTGTAGTCGTTCAACTAGCAATAGTAAAGTAGTAGTAGTAGTAGTAGTAGTAGTAGTAGTAGTAGTACTCGTAGTACTGGTAGTAATCGTAATAGTAGTAGTAGTAACAATCGTAGTCGACGCAATAGTAGTAGTAGTAGTAGTAGTCGTAAGAGTAGTAGTAGTAGTAGTAGTAGTAGTAGTAGTAGTAGTAGTAGCAGTAGTAGTAGTAGTAGTAGCAGTAGTAGTAGTAGTAGTAGCCGTAGTCGTAGGAGTGGTAGTCGTAGTAGTAGTAGTAGTAGTAGTAGTAGTAGTAGTAGTAGTTGTAGTAGTAGTAGTAGTAGTAGTAGTAGTAGTGGCAGTAGTAGTAGCCGTAGTAGTAGAAGTAGCAGTTGTAAAACTAATCGTATGTCGTACGCAGTACGTGGTACTAGGGAATAGTAGTAGTATTATAGTAGTAGAAGTAGCAGTAGTCGTGGTAGTAGTACTAGTCGTACGTGTAAATGTAGTTGTTGTTGTAGTAGTCGTCGTAATAGTAGTAGTGGTAGTCGTAGTAGAAGGCGTCGTCGTTGTGTTCGTCGTCGTCGTGGCGGTGATAGCAATAGAACTAGTAATACTAGTAGTGCTAGTAGTAGCAACAGTAGCAGTAGCAGCAGTAGTAGTAGTAGTAGTAGTAGTCGTCGTCCGAGTAGTAGTAGTAGTAGTAGTAGTAGTAGTAGCATTAAGGGTAGTAGTAAAAGTAGCAGTAGTAGTAGCAGCAGTAGTACTGTAATAGTAGTAGGAATGGTAGTGATGATCACAACAGTAATACATAGTCGTGACAGCCGTCGCAGAGGTAGTAGGAGAAGTGGTGGCACTGGAAGTAGGAAACCGCAGGAACAGTGGTAGTTACAGTAGTCGTAGTAGTAGTAGTAGGGGTAGTAGTAGTAGCAGTCGTAGTAGTAGTAGTAGTAGTAGTAAAAGGAGTAGAAGTAGTAGTAGTAGTAGTAGTAGTAGTAGTAGTAGTAGTAGTAGTAGTAGTAGTACGAGTAGCCGTAGTAGTAGTAGTCGTCGTCGTAGTAGTAGTAGTAGTAGTAGCAGTAGTAGTCGTAGTCGTATCAGTAGTAGTAGTAGTAGTAGTAGTAGTAGTAGTAGTAGTAGTAGTACTAGTAGTACTAGTAGTACTAGTAGTAGTATTCGTAGTATCCGTAGTATTCGTGGTAATGTCATAAAAAACAATATAGTAGTTAGTAGTAGGTAAGGGTAGTAGTAGTGATAGTAGTAGTAGTAGTAGTAGCAGTAGTCGTCGTCGTCGTTGTAGTAGTAGTAGTAGTAGTAGTAGTATTAGTAGTAGTAGTAGTAGCATCAGTAGTATCAGTAACAGTAGTCGTAAGAGTGATAGTAGTAGTAGTAGTAGTAGTAGTAGTAGCAGCAGCAGTAGTAGTAGTAGTAGTGGTAGTAGTAGTAGCAGTGCAGTTCTAGGAGTAATAGTAGTAATACGAATTATTCTCGGACAATTAGACAGAGGTCGGGAAGGGTCAACGGAATTGTGTTTAAGGATGTACCGCTGGCTCTTGCAAGTTCGATCGTTAAAGCAAATGGTACAGTTAAAGTTCGTCTGTCGCGGATCTCGAGCGAAACGCTTGTTCAGCAGATTTGTTTGAGGATGTCTCGAGCGACACGCCTGTTTTGTGTTACATGTTGTTTCCCTCCTGGGGACCAGAATTCAGAGGATGTCTCAGGTGAAATCCTTGTTTTCACGTGCCCAGATCTCGAGGATGTCTCAAGCGAAACGCTTGTTTTCACGCTTCCAGGTTGCCCAGGCGGATGTCTAGCATGAGGATTCGTCGAGGATGTCTTTCGCAAGACGCTTGTGTTCACGCTTTTGGGTCGCAAAGGCAGATGTCTAGCCTGACAAGGTTTTGGGAACGTGTCGAGCGAGACGCTTGGTTTCACGTGTCCAGGTCAACCAGGCGGATGTCTAGCATGAAGATGTGTTGAAGATGTCTCTGGCGAGACGCTTGGTTTCACGTGTCCAAGTCGCCCAGGCAGATGTCTAAAACAGGAGGATGTGTTGAGGATGTTCCGAACGAACCGCTGGCTTTCACGTGTCCAGGTCGCCCAGGCGGATGTCTAAAACATGAGGATTTGCTGAGGACGTCTCGAGAACGAGACGGTCGCCCGTTCGTGGGGGCGTCCCCATGGCGCCCTGACGCGCCCCCATGACGCGTCCCTTGTGACGCTCGGGCGTGGACGTGCCCTGGTACGTCCCCTCTCACGCCACTCGGCGTGGCACGTTCCCTGGCTCGCCTGGGACGCACAGAGACGTACTGGTACTATAGGTTCCTCTTGGAGGCGCGCGCCCGACCCGAACATATAGTATACCAATCTTGTAGCCTATCGTTCCCCGAGCGGTGTGGCCAGAAAGCGCCCGCCACGACGCGTATACTATAGATTTCTCGGTGCGCGCGTCGCCCACTGTGGGAGCGACGCACATATCGTATGCTAGGGTGACGCCGATCGTCCTTTGTCGCGTTTCCTTGCTCGTCCCCAAGCGTTTCCCCTGCCCGTTCCGCGGCGGGCCCCTCGCAACGTCCCTTGGCATGACGTCCTCTGGCCGTCCCATGGCACGCGCTTTGGTACGTCCCGTGGCAGGTCCCTGACACGCCCACGGCATGTCCCCTGATGCGTCCCCTTGAACATCAACTATTGCGCCCCTGGCACATCCTTTGGCGCGTCCGTGAGCCTGTGCCCCGTGTCGTGTCGTTCCTTTTCGGAGCTGAGTCGTATTTTGAGGTCGAGTTGATTGAACGTCCTCGACGCTTCCACTTCAGCTGACCCTGGGGCGGCTACTATGTGCTCAGGCAGCTCGAGCTAAAGATCCAGATCAGTTCGGTCAGGACTCGAATGCCAAGGAGGACTCGATCCACAACGCTATAGAGCACAACCGCGGCATGGCACATCGCAGTTCAGCACGGCACAGCACAGCACAGCCCTGGGCACGGTCAACCAAGATCAATCCATTCAGCATTGCAATTAATTACCCGTCGCTCAGTGAGGTGTCTTGAAAACGTTGCCATGCCTCACATCTCCATATCCATTTCCGAGTTCGTTTGTCGATCATGCTTGTTCCAAATTTCGAGCGCTTCGTCCTGGGGGAAACCCTGGGTCTAGGACGGACTGTTATCCCTCACCGCCCCCTTCTGCATGGCGAAAGATCGAGGATTGAGGAAGACGCGTTATTTCTTCCTCCTCTAAGCTTCCTTTGTGCCTCTCCTCCTGGCACGGTGACGCATGCAACAGCAACATCAATCAGTCGGAAACGCTTGGAGTCTGAGGAGAATCGAAGAGCAGGACTGGGCACGCCGCGGTCGAGCATTTCGCGCATCTCACGGCAAGACGATTCGTGGCACAACTGGGACGCCAGGCCGCGCGATCGCCCCGCAGCGCGCCGCCGAAAGCTAGCAGACGACCGAGACCGAATCGCCGGCCCCTCGGACTTGCACTGCGCCCTCGGCAACTCCCCATCTTACGGGAACCAACTCTATACACCGAAGCTGTTTCCGGCCCTGCACTGACACTTGCACAGGAAAGCGGATCCTGGTGTATACGGGGTCCTGGTGTATACATTTTTCGTTGTTCCCCCTGGAAGCGGACAAAAAATATACACCACACCACCCCGACGTCGTTCCCGACCCTCAACAAGTCCTGGGATTGACAAACAGCCCGCCACTGGTAATGCATGTGTTCTACTTTCCGACATCTCTCCAGCGTCTTGAAGAAATTCGCCGACACACTGGGCACTTCCTCGGCGTCGTGCTGTCCTCCCCAAACCCACATGCCCCAGGAGCCCAGCCCAGCCATAAATGGAGGGGGAAGGTCCCGTCGAGTCAACAGGGCAGTGCGGGGGTCATCTGCTCCAGGAATGCTCCCAGACCCATCAGACTGGCCCCCACGAATAGCCACATGGCTGCCATATCGCGCAAGATGGTCGAACCTCGCCCTCACCGGCCTACTAACATGCACATTTGATGCTCCAAGCTGGCCCTCAGAGTGGCTCCAGAAGATCACGAAACTCCCCACGAATGCCCCCCCAAGAGACCAACAATACTGATTGCAACTTGGACATGGACCAGCCCTGCATACACCTCTCGGGCACGTGAAGTGCACGGAGCGATCCCTGCAGGGTCCCAGGGAGGACACCGGGTACTACCCGCCTCTTCGCCAGATTTGGCCCATTGCGGCGCCAATAGACTGTGCTGCTGAGCTGTAGAGGACGAGCCAGATGTACTTCGTGCGATCGGAGTAGTCGGGAGTTGGATGCGGGGTCGCAGGTGAAGTGGTCGGACATGGGTGAGCGGTCGCGAACCCGCGCCCAGCGTCAACAGCGAGACGACAGAGGCGCCTGCCAGTCGGGGCTCCTCGACTTCAGAGGGTCGGGATCGGGAGACCGCACGTCTGGAAGGGATGGAGATCTTGCGAGAGAGAGTCGCGCCACCACGCCAATGGGAGGGAGGGAAATCCAGTGCAAGGCTGGACCTAAACGTTGTTTTTCGTTTTGTGTTCGTTGTGCTCTACCTGTTTTCCTGTACCTCCCTGCCAAAACGGAAAATCCAGACACATCATCCGCGCTGGACCCCCCTGGCGACGCCTCCGGCGCCGCCCCCAGCGCGCTCCGCGCGCCAGGGCGGGGGGGTCCAGCGCGGATCCGAGAAATCCGCGCGGACCTCCGAATTTGTATGTTTATGCCATTGTTCGTTCCCCTAGGAAGGCCGTCAGCGATGGACTCTCCTGCTCTCCTGGGCTCCCGGACAGGCTTCGGGTGTTGCCAAAGTGCGCCCAGCCCAGAGTGACCCCAGGATTGTCAGGGAGGCCGCCACGGCCTCCAGAACACCCCTCACGAGGCCTAGAGGGCACCTTGGGGGCTCCAGCTGGGAGCATCTTGGGCCGAGGGCACCTTCATCAACCCCCGAATGGAAGAGGAACGTGGAACGGCACAAACATACACCTTCGGAACTTCGCGCGGATTTTTTGGATCCGCGCTGAATCCCCATCCCAGGCGCGCCTCTGGCGCCACGTGCGGCGCCGGAGGCGCCGCCAGGTGGGCCCAGGCGCCGATCAAAGAAACCCGCGCAGAGCTCAGAGCTCCAATAATTTACGTTTCTGCTGTTTTCCGTTTGGCGGCGCGCAGAGGGGGGGTAGGGGGAGGGGGGAAGACTCCTTCGAGGGAGGCTGCTTCTTAGAAGGCGCCAGCTTTGTAGCTGCAGACGAGGCCCGCGCCTTCTTAGAAGCAGGGGCTGCTTCTAAGAAGCATTCCACTCTCCCCCTACTGGGATCGGCGCGGGGGGTGCTAAGGGGATAAGGGAGTTCGCAGTAGATGCCAAGGTGGGCTTTTGATCAGCCCTAACCCAACGTATAAGCGGGCTGCAAGTGCCCCAGGTGGTTCAGGGGGGTGCGATCCAGGCTAGGTGGGCTCCGCCCACTTGGCGGAGCTATCGAGCCCCCTTAAGACACCTGGGGCACGTGTAAGCCACATGTAAGCTAGGTCGGCCCAGATATAGTCCACCATGGCATCCACCGAAACCTCCCTGACCTCTTAGCAACCCCCGCGCCGATCCCAGTACTCGGGGATGGACAGACCTCCCTTTAGTAAAACGTGGTTTAGTGAAAACGACCTGAGGCCCAAACCTGGCGGGCGCACGCCTGTAAAACAACGGCCGCGGCGCCCTCTCGAGAACCGAAAACGCACAATTCACCAATCGACGTGCCACTGTTGGGGGGTTCTGTCCGCCCCCGAAGCACCCCCTTCTGCGCGTGGCCCGCCTGTTCCTCGACGAATGTAGGGGGAAAACAAACCTACCTCGCTTTTGACCACCCTCGCTTCCTAGAGATACCAAACGATGCCAAATTGCAGCCTGTACTGGTCAGGCCGCTTGACGAGGAGGCGCGTGGTATGGCTTGGTTTTGCCTGGAAGCGAAAGCGGGGTAGGTAATTCAC